CTGTTTTGTACTTTCCTCTTGAATAAGTTTAACTAACTAGTAAATGCATTCCTACAAAATACAGGAATGTGATTTAGTAGTGATTTCACACTCCTTTAAATACCCAGCAATTTTCCACACTAGCCTTTTTCATAGAAATATGATTATTACAATCTTATTTCACTTTTCGTTTAAAAAAAAAAAAAAACAAAAATACACAGAAGCAAAATACAGATTACAATTTTGACCAGGAATGGAAACTATTTAAGAATAATATGCACAAAATTTTATTTTATTTCCTGAAGGTAAGAAAAAAAGAATTTTGTGTCTAGGAGACAGGTTCAGTTTTTAAGCTTCCTATGGCTTAAACACAAAGTGTGCAGATACTATTGCTTACATTTCTGTGATTTGTGTATTTATCATCTYCCAGTATATCAGAAGTCCCACAAAGTTTAAGGCACAACTGATTAAACTATTCAGTATGATCTTTATTTAAAATAATTCCTGATAAATCATAACAGTAACCAAAGACTGGGTATTTTACCTGGAGAGCAGAAGTGGGCTTTACCCAGTATGGAGCCATTGTACAATTTATCTTCCCAGAGGGATCCATGTCAATATCCCACCAGGAAAGTACAATTTGTGCCTTGCCAGACTTTATAGCTTCCAGCTGCACTCTGTAGCATGTAGAAGCACTTCTTACTGGCTTACTGAAATCCACGCTGCAGAGAAAAAGAAATTGAAGAATAATTTAGTATTCTTCCAAACCTGCCATCACTTTCCTAAGCTGAATACACGAYTCATACTTAAAAGGAACAGGACATAACAGGACACAACAGGAAAATTTTGTGTGGAACAAAAACTCACCTGAACATTGTCACAACATCACTAAGGATAGTGAAGTCACTTGAAGGCATCTGATTCAACTGGATATCACAAACAGAAGGAACACCTGGACAGTTCTCCATTTCTGATGGGGAGACAATAATTTTTTCACCATCCTCTGCTTCGACACGAACAGGAAACAGCTTGTTCCAGGACCACATTCGTCTGGATTCCACTAACTGGACATAGACCGTTGCCCTATGAGGCACTGCCTCACATCCTTCCTGTGAGTGTTCAAAGTAAAGGATAACGCATTCAACATGGTTGACTTATGAACATATGTGAAGAGTAATTTAAATAAAATGTGAATGAATTTATAGAGAGACAAAGTTGCCAGACTAGAAGCTTTGAAATTTTATATTGCTACTATTTCAGAGACTTCTATAGTATCAGAACATCTGCTCTTTGTCTTCCTATTTGTGAAATACACTTATCCATCTATAAGTGAAATACACTTATCCATCTATAAGTGAAATACACTTATCCATCTATAAGTGAAATACACTTATCCTATTTGTGAAACACACTTATCCATCTGTTCAGTGTAGTTCAGCAAAGCCACGGTATCAGTCTGTTTCCCAGCTTCAGTTAAATGCATGTTTCTGTACTCATTCTGAGATGAGAGCTATCCAAAGATGACTACTAAGATATCAACAGTTTGACATAAGCAGTAAGTAAGTAATGGCTCGAATGTTTGTTCAATGGCAATGGCAACTTTTAATCCTTGTTTAAAGAGAAGAGAACACATAACTTGTGTATATGTCTATATGTGGGGAACAGTAAGAAGAGTAAAATCCTCTCTCAGTAGAAGAGGTAAATAGTAAGAATTTAGCACAGATAAGAAATTAGCACAGCTGGTGGCCTTTTTACCTGTACAAGATGCTTATGTGCATGCTCATAGGTTGGTAGAGCTCCTTCTCCTATCAGCTCGGTATCAAATAATTCTGTTACCAGGATGTTTGCACGACACTGCATGTCTCCATCTAAAAGACACAATTTAATTTCATATTGTCACTTTATACTTTCTTTCAAAGGAGKTAAAACTCTCTCCAGCTCTTTCAAAACCAAGTCATGCTGTGAAGACAAGTCACTCATAAACTCATTTCTTGTAAGAGAATCCGCTGAATAATGCAAATTTGCTATTTTCCTTTAGAAGGTTATTATGAAATTCAAATGACTACTGAAATACTATTAAAAACACTTCTTTTTGAAAAAAAACTTTTGATGTCACTTTCTAGAGACAAAAATATTTGCTTAATTAAAACTAACTGGAAACAAAAAAACACATCCCTTGACTTCACATATTTTTTAACCTAAGTTTATTTTCCYTACCTGGTCCAACGGTAACTTCAGTGGAGTACTTGTTGATTACCTTGATCTTGTCACTAAAACCATTCTTCTCCACTATCTTCACAGCAGCATTAGCCATGGGCCTGAAAACCTACAAACAGGAMGAGTATAACACACTGATTAGCTAACATCATCATCCAAAATAAAAAGCAACCCAAACTGCAGCATATTTAGCCCTGCAAAAATTAACACATTTTGCACATTTTCCTAGTTTAAGTTCATTACCATGAATCAGGACAGTAACCTCACTTTAGAATTTCAGAAGTTCATGAACTCCAATGTCATTCTTAGAAATTGAACTAAGAGCTGCTTCCAAGAAGCTATCCCAATTTAACTTTTTAAAGTATAAAGAATGTATATTAAGAAATTCTTAGYATTTACATTAAACAGTCTTGTGACTGATCATAAACATATCAAACCTGCACTTCAGAAACTACAATAAAAATAAGCAAATGAATCTACACAACCAATCATGTGGATGGAACAACTGCACAAACCTTCTAAAAAACAGATTACAAACACACATGCTACCTGACACCTCACCACTTCCTATTCAGAAAGTAGAAGTGTGTGCAGTCAGTATGAGATGCTTACCTCAACAGCGTAACAGAAATCTGCACCTGCCGAAGCTGCCATCATAGACAGGAGTCCTGTGCCAGTCCCTATGTCTAAAACAATTGCTTTCTCACCTCTTTCTTTTACTCTGCTCACTGCAGCACGGATACCTTGGTAATATTTCACATTCTGTCAAAGGAAAAGGGAGACAAAATATAAGCCACCTTTCATATGTTTACATACTTAGTTTGCAAAATTAAAATACACATACATATATACACACACTTAAATTTTGTGCAAGAATCTTCCACTCACAGACTGTGGGAGTTTATAATTAGAAAAAGGCTGACAGTTTTTACATTTCTGCAGTCAGATCCATTTTCAGCAAAAGCAAGCATTTCTGGAGGAAGWTTTCTTTAGTAATACAGCAGAAGTGAACAGTACATTAGTCCACTCAAAATATATCAGTCTTTACTGCACTATTCACCTTGGCATTCATCAATCTGCTGTTTACAGCGCATGCATAGTTTACAAATACAGAAATTTTCTGGGACAAATAATAAAAAGATACATCTGAGATACTACTACTTTTTTTGGATTACTTTAACCACTTTTTACTTGCATAATGATACAGTCCCTATGACTGTACAAAAACTGAAGTATCTTGAACTTAGATTCCTTTCTACCTCTACTGGAAAACATTCATATATTGGTTGATGGTTATGTGCTGTTAAGTGGAGATACATGCACATCATCATTAATAACAGCAGAGGAATCAAATGTTGCCATCCGTCAGTTACAATATACATTTGGAGCAAATATAGTTATATATTTTGGTAACAATTTATCTTAGAAATTCCTTTCCAAGTGATTTACCAAGCACTTGCAAATAATTCCTGATCTTTCAAAATGTAAGAGGRTATCTGTTGATACAACAGCAGGACTGGTCTTTTAAAGGGCACAAATACAAACATTTCATGCAGTGACAGCTGTTCGAAAGGGAGGAAATACACTTTTTCTCACCACTCAAAACTTACTTACTCTGTCTTTATCATGAAGCATATCTGCATAGCGTGACCTAAAATAAATAGAATTCCAATTAAACTACTACCTACTGCAAAGCATAGCACAAAACTGCTAGATATAAGTAAAAAAAAAATAGAGGTTTTCTAAGGCAGCAGGTGATGTGCACTGGTTGTAGCTTCCCAGACTTAAGCAATGATGTTATGTCAATGGTCATCAGCATATGCATGAATGAGTGAATTGCTCCTACGTATTCTCTCCTTAGACTATTCTAGCTGTACTGCTCCATATTTTCTCTTTAGCAATGAGCCCCATAAGTGGACCTATGGACAAACTGCTGTGGAGCACTAACAACTGGGAAAAACCCAAGTTAACACGTAACGATGGCAATGAAGGACGGTCTAATTTCTGTCAAGTATCTGCTACCAAGACCCTCTGCACTCAAAGCCAATCTCAGTGACAAACTGAGACACACTGCAATTCAGATCTTCTAACTAAATTAGTAATGACCTGGGTCAATTTCATTTATTGGTAACCTTGTTGCTAGGACTAAAATAATGATTTTTCACATTTTTCTGGTCTCCATGTGCCTGTCACGCTGCTGAATAATACACTAAATTTCTAACCTTCCCAACTTCCCTGACTAGTGCATTAGGCCCTTACTGAGTTACCAAAGGTATATACAAGTATTAGTTATTTATTGAGCTAAAGGTTTAGAAGATATGGCCACGATTCTATGACGGTCAGTATGAYTGTCATCTAAGAAAACACGGAGGGACATCTGGAAAAATAACTTATACGTCTAGCGATCTCCCCTGCACGATATTCACCGCAACCATACTGGGCCGGCCTGGGGGCCTCCGCAGAGACAAACTCCGAAACCCTTCACCAAACGCAGCCGCYTTCGCGTTTCTGAGTGAGCGCGCAAAGCCGCCGCCGCCCGGGCGGGCCCACCTCGCAATCTCCTGGTGATAGTCGTAGCTCTCGTCCTCCTCCAGCCACTCCATGGCGCCCGTGGTGGGGTTAGCTCTCCCGCAGAAGGTCTTCATGGCCGCGCTCGCGTGGCCGAGCGCCGCGGAACGCGCGGACCCGCCGCTTACCCGCCGCGACGAGGCTCACGCCAACATGGCGGTCGCCTCAGGGGGCGCGCGCGCCGCCGCCGCTATCCCGGCGTGCCGCGCGGCGCTCCCGCCGTGCCGCGCGGCGCCATGGAGCGGGCGGCCGTGCTGCGCGTGAAGCGCAAGCGCGGCGGGCCGGAGCCGGCCGAGGCGCTGCTGCTCGCCTGCAAGCGGCGGCGCGGCGAGGCGGGCGGCGCGCCGGGCTCCCCGCGCCTCGAGAAGGGCCTCTTCAAGCTTGTGGCCACCGTCTGCTCCAAGGTAGGGCGGCGGGGCGCTGGGAGCCGTCGCGGGGGCCGGGGCTAACGGCCGCGCGCGGGCCGTCGCGGGGGCCGGGGCTAACGGCCGCGCGCGGGCCGTCGCGGGGGCCGGGGCTAACGGCCGCGCGCGGGCCGTCGCGGGGGCCGGGGCTAACGGCCGCGCGCGGGCCGTCGCGGGGGCCGGGGCTAACGGCCGTTGGGCCCCTTCCTCCCCTTGCCTGTCTCCGCTGCGCAGGATGATCCCGTGGAGAAGTACGTGGAGGAGGGCGCGAGACGCAGCAGGGCGGCCCGCGCGGCGCGGCCCTCGGCGGGCAGCGCGCAGCGCATCCAGCGGGAGCTGCGCGCCGCGCGCGAGGCCAGCCGCAGGGAGAGCCGCTACCGCGTGGTAGCCGCGCACCGGCCCCCGGCCGCGCCGCCCGGCCCGGGCGCCCAGGCAGGGCAAGATGCCGCGGCGCAAGGCGGAGGCGAGGAGAGCGCCGGCTTCTGTGGGGAGTTTCAGCTTTTTGATATCGTGCAAGAAGAGGAGGCTGTGGAAGAAAAGCCGCAGGTGGGCAAACAGACTTAATATGTATGTATAAAGCTTATATCTATTTATATAATGATTCTAAAACAACAGTGCTGTTGACAGCCTGAAAGGCCTGTTTTTTCCATGACCWGTCCACATACCTCCATGCCCTGCTCATCTGCCAGGTGGAGCTCTGGAGGTTTTACAGAATTCTGCTCCACTTTCTAGCAATGGAAAATTCTACATGTCTGTCTCTCCATCTACTCACATGCCTAAGAATGTCCCTTGTAGGGAAGGTAGGAAAATAGCTTTGATCCTTCCCTTCTCAGAATCCCAATATATACTTGAATCATGTGTTTAATTTTCAGCAGAACTCTTAGATGCTGGACAGGCTTCTTAGCCCCTGTATTCTGTTTTCATTATATTATAAATCAAATATGCCTTCAATTGGAGAAACATCTGTTTGATTTCTAGAATAAACTAGTATAAAAAAGCTCTGCCATCTGTGTAGGGTTGTACTGYATACAGTGCATTAAGACTTTTTAATAAAAATACTTAAAACTATGTAAAAAGAAGGTGTGTTTATATGTCTCCTTTAGTAGCTCCTTGACCATATGTATGTACACTTGTTTTACTTAATACAGCCCATCATAGTTCTGAGGAAGACTTAAACACTTTGTGCTAAGAGAATACACGTGTAAGCAAGTCATCAACTAGCTGTCATCAAGTTTCTCCTGTCTCAGAGCAGAAAGAAGAAATTAAAGATGTCTACAGGGTATATCAACCGTTACCTCTTAATTAGTTTTATTTTCTCTTGTTTCCTGGGAGACTGTACTCTACCGGCATATTGTTAATGCTAGTGTGTTTMAATCTTTACACTTTGTATGTTGCAGAGATGCTATACAAAGCATAGTCCATTTCAAAGTATGTCATTTCAACTGACCTGTCATTAGAAACAGACTAACAGTTGTACAGAATGAGTCATTTCCCTTCAGTGGTTTGTAATAAACTTGTCCCAGACGTTTTCTTCTCCCCCCCAAAAAAGGCATGGCTGTACACTAGGCTAATTTGAAAATTTTTTAATGTTTGTGTACTTTAGAAGTGTTCCAAATAGTATTCCAGTAGGAAAGTTTTTAATTCTAAGCTCTCAGAAGGTCATCCTTAACTAGATATTGGCTGCTATCTACAAAGCTATTGTCTGTATCTAAAACTATGTGTGTATGATTGCAATAGTAATGCACATTTATTTTTTTGGCAACAGAAAACCAGTGATCCAGATGTGATTCTCTGCAATGCAGTGGAGATGATTCGTGAGCGTTTACATGTTTCTGAAGATAATAAGAAGGCAGAACACCATGAGAAAGAAGATGAATATGTTTATGATATCTACTATATGGAAACATCAGCCCCTGGTTGGATCCAAAATATCCTGTCTGTCCAGCCCTATAAAGAGGAGTATGAACTGGTAAGGATGTGGAAAATTGGTATTTCTGCTTTAGAAAGGCCATGAATAAACATATTTAAAGTCCTAACATAAAAAGTGGCCATGTCAAAAAAGATCCTGTGAAAATATTACTCTTGCACTGTGTTAAACTTTCAGTAATTGCCCATCCTGGGTCAAGTTACTGCTGATGTGAGCAAATGATGATGTGACAGTGAAAACTGAAGCGGTGTTGTTCGTGAGCTTAGAAAGACTTGACTGACCTCAATTTGACAAACACACACACAACATAAACTTAAGTAATTCACATCTGATTTGTCACTCTCATAGAGGTAACAATTGAAATGTAAATCAGTTTTGGAAAGAAGGAGCAAGTCCTCCTTGAGGATTTACATTTATAATCTTAAGAGGTCTTTTCTTATATTCTATAAAGAAATAGCTTTCATTGATGGTGAAGTTATGACGATAAAGCATAAGCTTTCTTCTGCCAGTGCATGGATACTGTGGCCAATAGGCTTTGCAGAGGAAGAACTTGAAGCAGCTTTYTCTTCAACTGTTACAATACTGCTGAAGCGAGTAGGATTGTTTTTGACATCAACTTCAGCAACACCAGAATATATAAATGCATAGCTCACACTTTTCACCAAAAGAAAATTGCTATACTTTCAGTATTCTTAACTATTTTTTATGGTCTGAAGGGTTTTTTTTATTTTTTTTCAAATGTAATAAAACATTCTGTTCCATATTGACTTGCAGGTAGATGATGATCCTATTCCAGAGGAAATATAYGAAGATGAAGATGATGAAAATGATGAAAATAACTGGCGTAATGATTATCCTGATGAAGATGAGTTTTTACCTGAGGAAGATGGTGATGGAGAAAAAGGTGTGCTTGTTAGAAGTACTGTCTGCTTTTGTGCTATGCATATTTAAATCACTTTTTTTTTGCAGTTCCTTTCTAAAAATGCAATCTTTGCAGTACTGATTTTTTTTTTCCTATTGTAATGGATTAGATCAGATCAGAAAAGAATTATTTGGCACCAGGGCAAAGTAGGTGGGCAAAGTAGGTGGACACTGCACACAGATGAAGGGAAATACAAACTTCAAAAAGCTGGGAGAAGCAGTTACATTGGTTCACCATGTCTTGTGGAACCAACATCTAAGGTAGCAACTGACTTTAAATCCCTATGAACTTAGCTTTTATAGTTGCAAAATCCTCAAGATTAAAGGAAAGTCAAAATTTCAAGAACTATTTTAAGATAGAATGACATGATATACAGCAAAAAGAATGCTAAATTACTGTGCTGTATGGCAGGTCTGAAAGAGGACAATTCTTCACCAAATGGTTATGAGCTGTACCTGGACTAGTTTTAAATGAACTCTATTTTYTAGAATGTGGCATTTTTCTGGTTTAAATGCTTAATTTCAAATCCCCTTCAGGCTGCTGCCAAGAATTGCTTGTTTTGAGAAGGAAGATTCATGTCTTACCCCAGCTCCATCTAAGTGCCATTCTGGCCTAACATAATATACAGCACTTATTCAAACATGTAGTTTTCATGTTAACAAAACTTTTATTAGTCAAATTAACATAACTTTAAAAAGGGATGAGTCTAAAATTGTGTTACATTCTTTTTCTAGAGTCTGAAGAAAGCTCGAGTGATGAGGACCAGTATCTGAGGAGAAGAACATGGAACAAATACCGCCAGGAGGTCCTACAGGAATTTGGATATGATGATGTCCATGATTTGGATTCTGACTGACAATTTTTTTTTTTTTTTTAAGATAAAATTCTAAAAAGCTGCTGCTGGCTGGCTATTCATGAGAATGTATAGCTTAAGAAAGAAAGAAAAGACAGACAAGCACTTTCTGGTAAAAGCTGTACTCGGTGGGACAGTAAGAAACCAGTCTTTAAATGTAAGCTAAGCTTTTCCTGTCTGATCTTTGGGAAGTGTYCTGAAACTCAGTGACTGTCATGGCTCAGCCTAGCGCTCACAGGTTAGGCTTGAGCATCCCATAGAACTAGACATGAGCCTCCAGTAACTAAGTAAAGCTCATCTTGGTACCTGAGCTGCATCAGAGGGTCAGCCACCTCCAGCTGGTAGATGTTACAAAGATGAGTGAGAATAGGGGCACTTAATACACAGAAAGCAGTACCTGTTTTTGACAGGTTGTATGTTTTGTTCTTTTCCTTCTTTATTTCTGAGCTGCATGCCCAATCCTTTAAATCAAGATGGAGAGYGTTACTGACTGTAAGCAGCAGCCCTTAGTGTTGTGACTAGTGCATAAGGTTTGGCACRCTGTCTACTCTAGGGCAAGAGATGCAAGTCTCTCTAGAGAAAGGCCGGCAGGAGTCATGCAGAAAGGCACTGTGCTKCTTTCTCTGTTTAAACTTGTGTTTGGTCACAAGAAATAACTTGACCGGACCCTTTTATTGGTGGGTATCTCTTCTGTACTTTTATTATTGGATGAGAATAATATATGTATTTACTATGTAAATAAAAAAAACCTTGTGGTCTGTTTCAATAACTCACATGAGTGTAGGAGTAGGTTCAGCTGAAGCTTCTTCAGCATGTGGATTTGCATTGAAAATGCAAATTTGCATTGAAAATGCAATTGCAAATTTGCATTGAAAATGCAATTAAAGTCATCTTCATCTTTAAAATCATCCTGTAAAGGGGAGAGATTTGCCACTTTCTACTGGAATACAGGGAAACTGAATCTCCCACTTCCATAGCAGATTCTGATACAGGTATTGTCTTTAACTAGTGAATCTTGTGATTCAGTGCCTGTAAAAAGCATTAATTGGTCAATGAATATTGGCTGCTGCTGTCACGATAACAGGTGAAAGCTGTTAAAGCTATTTTGCCTCCTGGACAACTCTCAGATACTGAATTCATTCTACTTACAATTCTTTAAAGACTTGCATGTATGGCAATAGTCTGCTAATAGTCAAATATTTTTTTCATTAATGAATGGAAAGGATAKAGTTGACATACATGCCAAGTAAGCACAGAGTTCCACAGCTGTTTAACTGTCTTAAGTCCAAAAGTAGCTTTGGCTAGTTTTTTGGTTAAGTATCTATTAGTTTAAAAGGGCATACCTTTTAAAATACCTGTAGCAGCTTTCTCCCCTCCCCTTCTCTCTCCTTAATATCAACTTAGACAGGAAGTCAGTACAAGAATCCAGATATTTCATACCATTACTGAAGGGGCTGATGCAACTGTGGAATAGTATGTGAAATACACGTGTCTTCGGCCACAATGTTTTGATTATAGGATTTAGTTTTAAGCTTAAGGAAACAAACCACACAGTGCATCCATGACAAAACTTGCATCAACTCCAAAATAAGGTGAGAATTCCTTAAACATTTTTGAAGTATAGCTTCAGGTTCTCTTGCTGCTGCTTTTTGTCATCTCTAGCTTCAGCATCAAGATTCCTGCAGGTACTGGTGTTAGATTCCAACTTTAGATTACCCCAAAACTTGAATTTTGCAGCCTCCGAGAACTGCTAGCTTCAAGGGCTTTATTATGCAACTTCCCCCCACACACACACCCTCTCTCTGAAACTACCCATTCAGATGGCAATAACTAGGTCAGCACTGACCTTCAGCTCAAGCTAGATGAAACAGTGCTTCTAAGTGAAATCACTTGCCTTTSATGGGAAGTTTTAGTTTCACTCAACAGAAATTTGTTGAATTTAAGTGTACAAGAAAATAACTTTTTTTTCCTTCTCCCCCAACTCTCTAGAAAAGAATTAATGGTACAAATAACACAGGCAAGGACAATATACATGTGGTTTCCCCCTTCYCTCACTTTTCACAGATGAAGGAGCTTCATTTTTTTTGTGCATCCCTCACTTTGAGATGCCATGGGACTCTGCAAGCTAAAGTCACTACCAAGGAACATTCTGGTGTAATGTTTCAGACATTACAGGCAGAAGTGGGGGGAAGTAGTTACTATGAGTTTAAGGATGACTATTTTCTACTGATTAGTACCAAAATTCAGAAAAGGTGTTTTCTGATGGGCAAGGTAATACTGCTATTGTGTGTCCAGCTGAAACAGTTCAAAGACAAATGCTCAGAAGCATCATACCGCACATTTTAATTCTGAAAGTTCCAAAACAGACTTGTCAGAAGATGACCAAGTATTTACAAGCTAGCAGGGAAGAATCCATGCATAATCAAATGTTAATCAAATCTTTAGTGCTAAGGAATTTCAATCTCATGAAAGTTGATTAAATCCTTGCAACAGAAGATACCACACTTCAGTATGGTATACAAAATGAAATGCCTAGGTTTAAGGAAGAAAAGGTGCTTCAGTCTTTAAACCATTTTAAACCGTAGCATAAATGGTTTTCCTTTTCCTGCCARTAATTTTGTTTGTAGTGACCAGTTGTCTCCTGGAATAAGAACTGAGATGGCAGATCATTTCATGCAAGCATTCATCAGAATTGAGCTGGAAATGACTTTTAGTCTTTTACCTCAAAGTGGTTTTCAGTGTAACTTGAGAAAATGTTATTCCATTGTCTAGGTCCGCATAAAACTAATTTGATCCATTAGCTCCAATTTAGAAATCCAACTCTCCTTCTTAACCATTCTAATACCATTCCTGAATGGTATCGAGGCATTGCTTATGTGCCCAAAATATGTAGCTAATGATCAGCTAAGGAGAACATGCCCTGAAAAATGCCACAGTTTAGGAGGATGACATCTGGGTGAATATCTGTTCCAACTGCACATAAGCACATGTTCAGTATTTCTGAAAGACACTGGAGCCAGTTTTTCCGTTTTTCCAGTTGCGTTTCTTCCCTTTCATTGTAATAACTGCTTTATCTTCCCTCCTGCTTCTTGTCATGACTTTGCAGTTTTAGTTMGATTTGATTTCTGACTTCTTTTCTTCGTTTGTGTCCATCTCTGTTAACACACAGTAACAGAGCAGCTGCATGTTTCGTGTAACTGCACCTGCACAGGAAACAGAAGAYAAATCAGATGAGTAGCACAACTCTAATTACACCAAGTGTACATGACTAGGTTAGTTGTCAAGAATATGCCCAGGGAGGTTGTGGAGTCTCCTACTCTGGAGGTCTTCAAAACCCGCCTGGATGCCACCCTGTGCCACATGCTCTAGGTGTGCCTGCTTGAGCAGGAAGGTTGGACTAGATGATCTGTAGAGGTCCCTTCCAACCTTAAATATTCTGAAATATTCTGAAATATTCTGAAATATTCTGAAATATTTGGCTCACTACTCACACGGGAAACAGTTTTCACAAAGAGTATTTTCCACTTATATTTTTATGCAAATAGTGCCTAAAGGTGTTTTTCCTCCCAGGCACCCTGTCAGGTGATTTGAGGTAGAATCTTTTTTTCCTCCTCTAAAAGTATAAGATTGGTAGTTAAAAATGGTAAATTACACGAGTGACAATATCTGCATTTTTTTTTTCTCTCCAACAATTGCTGCAGGACTGTAACTTGCGGTATCATAACATTATGGTATAAACCTTTTGAACATCCCTCATCATTTTTTTTTCTTCTGACACAATAAGAACAGAAATAGTGGACTGCCAGGAAGGGATGTGTAATTTAACCACAGCAACTCAACCACAGGCCAGACTGCATCTGTGACTAACACAGATTGTTCATCTTCAAACAGATTTAGTAGAGCAAGACAACTTGTCATTACCAAAGAAGGTTCAGCCCTTTTACTACCTTAATTAGGAAAAAGGCTTTGTGTGCTTGATTAAAGAGAAATGTGCTAAGACAGGGCAAAATCTGTAGGAAATGAGAGGTAAATAAATAGTATCTGAGTGTGTAAGCACACATAACATCAGTATACTCTTAATTAACAAACGGAGATTTGCTTGTTTAAAAATTGAATTCTCCTAATTTGTGAGCAGTGTTTCCATCTGCAAAGTGACTTACCTAAAAGCTTGTTGATAAAAGCAGGTCTCCTAGATGCAGGTAAATAGACTCCCAAAAAATAGACTGGAATTCCGGACAAAGCAATGCCAATTCCAATCAACGAATTTATTGTGTCGCTATAGAGTGGTACTACCACCAGAAATACTGAGCATATACAGAATATTATTGGGAAAGCCACACTCAGCTGGAGACAGAGAAAAAAAAAGCATGGTTTTGAAATATTCACTGTCTACAGTTGCATCCAATTTGGTGAGAATTACCCTTCCCCTTTCCCACCTCACTGAGAAATTATTTGTTCTTCCTCTTACACAACTGGTTATTTAGAAAACTAAACATGTAAGAATTACATGTAAGAATTACAATTCAGCAGAACTGCTGCTAAAATTTACAAGAGTAATCCATATAACACTGCTTTCTTGAAAGAGACTGTACAACAGAATGAAGTGTTTAAACAAATCCAGTCATCTCAGAAACTAAGAATGACTTTCCATGAACGATATCAAACTAAGGGGATCAGACATTGAACTGAACACCATCGGGATTAAATGTGTTTTGAAGTGATAATTATTTCTAACTTTAAACAACTCTCATTCCTTTCCCCTGCTCACCTGAATGAGAGATTTTTTTTTTTTTTTATCAAAGGCAAAAACATAACTATCATTTTAGATTGAGGCATTCTCCATTTAACAGAGAGATGGGATACTGGCAGAACTAACATACACAAAAGCCTATGCTATCACAGAAATWCTATTTGCATCTAGTGGATACGCTAACTTTCACACTGCCATCTAAAATGGAAAGCATGTTTTGTGTTCTTTAGATGTAAGGCGTAAGGAACAGATTTTTGATAGCACTTTTACATTACAGGGAAGAAAAGGGTCTTAATTCCATATCAAGTATTTTTTACCTTTAGAGGCCTAGGTCGATCTGGTTCCTTCCAACGTAGATACAATTGTCCAGCAATCGACAGACCAACAAAAAACCAGTAACTGAAACTGAAGTAATTAATAAGCTTAAAAACATCTTCTACAGCCAGGTAGATGAGGGTCATAATACACTGTCATAAAAAAAAAAAAGAAGAGGAATATGATGAACAGCAAAATTTGAAAACTTTTTTTTTTTGCTACTTTTTGCATTTAAGTAACACTTTCTTTCACTTCTTAGCATTATCATGACCTATGCCTATCTGAATAGCAATCTCCTACAAATACCACGAATAATGGAAGATCTGAGCTTCTCTTTCRTGCTATCAGCTACACAGTTACTTGTGAGAATTACCTCTCTTGAGACTTTCCAAGATTTTCCATGGCAATAGTGCTCCGAGCATGATGCTTTCTATAGTTTGGCAACGATTAAGAGAAATAATTTCTTGGCCATATGCCCCTTGTGGAAATGTATCAACAGATTGAGATCCTTTAACTGGTTTTATCAGTATGTAAGATTATACAGCAGCTAGATTTTTACCACTGATAGCATCTTCATCCTCAATTTATTCAGCATAGGGAAACCATACACTAAGTAGACATTTTAATCCATATTTMGCTTAGAGAACACTGAAGTCTGATGATGCATCCAGCGTGACAGTAGCATAGCAGAATAATTTTATCATTTAAATGCAATTACAACTTTCTATGTAGTTAGGGATTTGGCAAGATGCTTTTCAGTGACAGTCACTGAARTTTTCCGGAGGCTGTTACTGTAATAAAGCAATATACTGAACAGAATTTCCTCTATAATCTCACTCCAGCCTATGTAAAAATACAAGCTTCCTTTACGTATTCAGTCTTATCTGTACAGCTAGAAAGAAACATTAATATCTTACATTGAAGAGCAGTGCAGGCACAGGTGTGAACCTCTTTATGTGGATCATGGACAACAGATCAGGAAGGTGGCCTTCCCGAGATCCCACAAAAAACAGCCTGCGGGAAGAAGGTTGGGGCAGGGGAAAACCAGAAAAATCAATCTTAAAGGCTACGGGTGAGAGCAAATATATAGACAAAAGAAAACAACAAAACCAGTCAAATATAGCATTTACAACACTGAATCTCCATCTTTTAAACCAGAACATGTATTCCACTCTGCTTATAAAGGTATACTGCTTATATAACTTTCAGTGGTTATATTACATTATAAACTTTATTAACACTTTTTTAAGAAAACAATGCTACAGGTAAAATAGAAAATTTCTTTAGTGACTGAAATAAATTTCTACTGTTAGAAAAATTCTAAAAAAGTAGCAGAATAGAGGGGAAAAAAGTGTCCACATGTTCAGAAAACAAAACTGTGAATGATTTCACCATCAATTGTAATTTTTTCTATATTGCCTGCTTTACCAGATCATGTTCATATTTATTCTCAGTTCAGAGACACTGTGCATCCATGGACATGTCCATTCAATGGACAGGAAGGATGTTAAAATGTCTAGAAAAAAATATCAATCTGAGACTTGTACTAGTCAAATGCATTATCAATGTTCAAAAGATAAATTCTGTGCTGGACCCTAAGCTCTGTGACTGCAGTTTAACAGCAGCAGCAGCTTTAAATGTTTTACTCAGGAGCAAAAGAAAAATCCCAAGCTTATAAAGATGGTAAAAATGCAGAAAGACAATAAAGATTTTAGTTTTGGGAAGATAAGGTGATGTTAAAAGCATGTGTACACACCCAGACRTTTATTCTCATTCTCATATAACATATTACTGCTTTGTGTTTGAACAGTTGTCAAGAAGAGAGATTCACTACCTTGATGATGCTAGAATTGAAGCATTAAGTCCACCAAAACAAGAAAAGGCTACAGCAATGGGGATTGTCCAGCTGAAGATACCAAACACCTGGTCAGCAAACGTCTATTAGAAGAAGAGAACGGTAAAAAAAAAATTAAAAACATGGATTTTGAATTTGTTGTTAATTTTGTATAGAAAAATAACAATATAGTAGGTATATTCTGTAAGACCACACAAGATAAGCATACAGCTTTTTATTTACTTACATTTATTTACTTAATAAAGTTAATTTATTTACTTAAGATTACAGAGAATCAATACAAGGAAGCCTAAAGATAAAAATGGAATTAGGTGTCCTAAAAGGAAAATTTCATGCCAACAATGACAAACAACCATTATCTGATCTACTGTTTGTGGACGCTACTCTTGTCATCTCTCTACTTGATTTTCCTTCTTTTCCCATTTCCTACACGACTTCCTGGTCCCCTGAGCACCACTTGCAGCTCCTTTAGGCTCTTCTCTCACAACACAGCAACCAACACAGCAAGTGTTTGTCAAAGTCCAACCCATTTCTTACTATGACCACTGTGGTGGCCTTCCATGACAAAGCTCTGAAATCAAGGAGCCAGAAATATCCAAGTTTCACAGCAAGGAGTCATCAATTGCCAGTGACCTAGGAAATATAATGTAAGTGCATAGTAATTTACAAACTACTCTCCTGATCAATTCTCTTTGGCCTCCAAGGTGGAAGAGAGAACACACATTGCAAACCGCAAAGATGTTACTGCTATCAGGACAGAGAGAGTCAACATCTACATCTCAGCAGGTAGCTGTTGTCTAGGTCTTTTTATGAACTTTTCTCTAAGTTGCTTTCTCAGCTCTCCTTTGCTTTATTGTTTTCAAGAGCATAAAAGCACATGTAGCACATGTACTAGTCCAGCTTCGTACAGGGCTGTCTTTTCTACTGTGAAAGACTTCCTCACACCAGTTTTTAACCTCAACAGATAACATTTTGAAGACCTCCAAACTCCTCTTTAAAGTACTGTACATCACCTTAGGATTTATGAACTAAGACAGACATCTAAAGACAACTTATTTTCAGAACCAGCCTTTATTTGCAGCATGCAAAGCCATCTGGATCTCAGGGCGAATAAACTTTGGCTTAGTTACTCCTGGAACAACATCACCAAAAGCAGTACAGTACAATTTGTTATCTAAATGTTCTTGTAGACTAAAAATCCTAAACAATTTAAGATTTTTTTGTGTGTGAAATAAGAGATTGATCTTTTTCAGTGAAACTCTGCATGTAAGTTCAGAAGTTTCACTGACGTAAAACACATCTTGCCCACTTCATGTTTCCTGTTCTCTGTCTGGGCTGACGAAGTGCTTTGTCCAGCATGTTACCCAGCTTAAGGGTCGAGCTCCAACTCTGCTTACATACAAACTGTCATCTACACTAAGAACAAAAAATTATTCCATCCTTTCAGGTAATTAAGTTTAGCCACAGCAGAGGCAGACAGGACTTCTTGTTGCTAAAGGCCAGTGCAAAAGTCAATAGTCATTTCAAGAAAAACCTTGCCAGATGGTTCAAAGCCAATACATCAACTGTGTTAGTCACCCTAATTCTTGTAAAAGCACTTCCAACCCCCACCCCCAACTGCTTTAGTTAGTTTATATACATTAATATAGCTCTCCTCACGGTGACACGTCAAGAARAGTAAGAGAAAATGCACGCATTCCCATAGAAATTGTAAGAACTAAACCATATATGAACTTAATGCGGAAAACAGAACATTAATTCARCAGAAGACCATGTCATAAGAATTTCATTCTATATACCATCAAACAGCTATTTTCATTCTACTGAAATAGGGAGGTGGGGGCGACAAGGGGGAAAAACACTTATAATTTGCATTATTGTACATAAAAGATTACTGCTGCCCAAGAACATATAAATAATAGAACCCACAGAGCTTTCCTTAAATCCTTACTGGATTTGAAATAAAAGCAGAATGTAATTAATAATGATGCAGTGAAAGAATTTTGATACTTTCTCCAGAGCAAATAAGAACAAAGGGGAGATGAAAATTCTATTGGGGAATTATATCCTACAGGAAGATTTAAACCTGGACTGGCTTATTTCTGAAGCCAAATGGCAAGCAAAATTGCTAAGCAGCAACCATAAAACCGCTAGAGGATTCTTTTTTAAAATAATGCAAAGGTAAAATACAGAACTTCAAGAAGATGTTAGAGAATTAAGATATTTAGTAAGGTTGCCTAGAGGATAAGCATTTAGATAAGTCATATGATCAACTAAAGTTAAAGAAGAAAGGCAAAACATAAGGATGTAATCTTATGATGGAGAATACACATCAGCTGCTAAGTCATCTGGAATATCTGTTTCCCCGAAAGAAAGTTGGTGTTTGTTGCTTGTAAACATTTTCCATTTTCTTTTGAAACATTTTGCTATGGACTAGCAGGAACGCCAGGTTTTGAGCCAGCTCAGAGGCCAATCTATCCAGCAATGCATATCCTATTTTTCCAAGATGTCCTAGTGTTGTTTCACACATTCCAGAAAGTCACTCACATGAGCAGTAGAATCCAGAGGGAGTTCAGGCAAAGCTATGATAATCACTTCCAAAAATTATGCAGATGAAGATATTTCAGATTCAAGGAGTTTTGAATGCAAGCCTGCAACTACATGATAACAGATACCGCATGACACAAACATTGGTCTAGCTCAATGTCTAATTAATAATTGTTTTCTCTGGATCTGTACCAGCCAGCCTCTTTGGCACAAAGAAGAGCCTTTATCAAATACTGTGACATCTAAGATAAGTTTACTAATGCAGTAGCTCTGTTTCCTGAGACAGCAAGGAGCAGAGAGTTGATTTTTCAAGAGTTTAACTTCTCCGTAAGTGAGATAATACAAAGGACTACTTTAATTTTGGACTATCTTACGAAGTTCAGTTTGGTCAGCTATGTACATCTGCCAGCAAAATGTAGTTGTTCAGCTGACACATACTTGAAGATTAATCTAATTTCCAAGAGATATTCGCTAGCTTCACCATGACACGTTATCATTCAACCATCTACGCAGATGTTTAACAAAACTTCTAAAAAGTTTTGAAAAAACTTTTCAAAACCAAGACAAAAACGTGTTTACTTTTCAGAATATGTATTTACAAATTCTTCAACACTCTCATTTTAATAGGTGCCAGGACACAAAGATCTCTACAGTATTTTTCGCAGTGTTACTGAAATGTAAGTAAAAGTGTCCACAAAAAGCATTTAACTATGTGTGCATGTCAGAGGGTTATTTCACATAAGAAAAATGGGCAGATACAAAAAAAGCTATCAAGCACACAGTCCARGTGCACGTTACCAAGAAGGGAAAAAATAAAAGAAAATAAAAGGGGAGGGAGAAGAGTTAGTGGCTGCTTTCTGCTAAAACCACAGTCCCACAATCGTAGATCCTCCACAAATGAGCCAGTCTGGGAATCCRAATTGAGTGTTTGACCAGTTCTACCTTAACTGCCACTGCTTGGTAATAACGAAGTGCACTTATAAAAATATACAAATGATCTGGCAGCAAGGGGGAAAGAATGGAGCATTCACAGGGATATGTGGAGGATGACAGAGGAGCCTACCTGGAGGCAGCTATAGCAGAAGCATTTAGTCCACCAAAACAGGAGAAAGCCACCACTATGGGGATGGATTTCTTCTCAGGTTTCTTCTGAGAAAGTCTAAAGAGCAAGAAGGATTAAGAGATTAAATTTTCATCTTGGCTACAGTCTAAGATGTTCTGTAGTCCAGGCTTGAACTATAACTGCTTCTAACAGCTTGAAAACAGTAAAAGAATTAAGTGGCTTATATATAGCACTTCCAATTATAGGCCAAGACCTTTTATGCCCTCCCCTCCAGTGGACAGGAAAGATATATATAAATATGTGTGCACACACACACATTGTAGGAAGACAAGTACCTGAATTTCTGATTTTTTTTTCCCAAACCACCAACGAGAAATAACAAAGAAAGAAGGAATTGCAGCCATGCACGTTTTAGTTGCCCTCATTCCTTCCTGAGGACAGAGTTGTATGGCACTCCCAGAAGAATGACCAAAACTGACCAAAGCTTTGTTTCAAGATAAAAAYGGCTGATTTACTACTCATTACAGTTCAATTCCATGATCATCAACTTGTGATAGGCGAACAGTTATCAAAAATACTCATTTGCTCTTTTAAGTGTTCAAGCAACAGTTTATCACCAACAGATTAAACTGCAAGCAGCAGGAATTACCCCAGATAAAGAGTTGCCACAACAAAATGCACGGGATATTGTCTCACATTCAATAATTCAGGCACACTTGACATTAAGACAGACCCACATTTAGTTTAGGAATCAGAAGATGAGAATTGTTTCATCACACACAGTTTCACTGTACAAGTGCACTTAGAGGCACAAGACTACACTGACAGCACACGGAACCTGGATGTTGTGCTGACAAAGTACTAAAACGGTGTTGATCGACTAGATAAACACTAACAGAATGTGGTCCAATTAAATCAGAAACATGCTTAAAACTAGAGCCAAAGATGAGGTACTTTTACTAAGCAGTCTTAAAAAGCTACAGCCACCTCCTATAACTCACTTCAAGATACCATCACACACAAGCTTCTCCAGGCTCTGTTCTACAACGTTTTTGTCTCCTTACCACTAACTGTTGACTTCACGGATATGCACATGGTCTGGCTAATACCTAGAAAGTATGATTAATTCTTATTTTTTCCCTTGACACAAAGCAGAATTACAAGTCCCAAATTACAGAAATATTGCTAGTCAGACCTATACCCTGTTTTCTCAACTTTTATATCAAGGAGCTACTTCCTAAAGGAAACAAAGAAACACTGATTTATGGCAAACAGAAAGCTGCAAACAACAGAAAACCACCCAACAATCAACGATGTTTTCTTTCATTGCCATAGATTACATTCGTCAAGATACCATCTGGCATTCATTCAGAAACTATAAATTAAAGGCACATACATTAAAGAAAATAAGAGTGAACATCAACYGAAAATGTAAACAAATATCAACTGAAAATTGGGTCAGGAATTGTAAAGGTGCAATAAAAAAAAAAGTTTGAGAAAAATTCTGAGTTCTCCCTTAACTCTTGTTTCAACTGCCATCCTGTTAGTCGATTCTAACCTTGAACAGTCATGATTCTCCCCTTATGCTACTGCAAAGGCCATTTCTTAGAGGGAGAGAAAGTACAAATACTGTGCTAAATATGAAATTCATCTTTAGGTCATTTAAGATCTTAAAATATGAAAAAACTGCACTAACCATACTGCTCATGTACTGCATACAGACAGGCAGCTCTTTGCATGGTCCACATTCAAAATACACATGCTCGCTCCAGCAGTAAAACTGTGCAATTTGAATCACGACTGTGGCGGTGAAGATGCTTGACCTAAATTGACTCCTGTGTTTATCCTTTTCTTAGCAATTTCAATAGCTAGCTGCAGATTAAGGATACAATGTTTCCCAAAGTCACTTACTGTCCTGATATTAATAATACCATGTAGCTTTCCAGGGCTGGCTCCACTCTTCACTTCTGTCTCCAAAGCCAGAGAACTTTCACTGCGACTGTCAAGAGGAATTCTGCAATGTCGGTCAGTGAGGATGAGCTCCAAGAAAGATGGAAAACAACTTCCCGAACCAGCCTTCTCCAGCAGTGGTGGCCCACATCCCACTGTCTCTGTAATGGTGAAACTCCTCATTCAGGCACAGAATGTGCATTTCTCCCACAGGTSTCTTATTGGAAAGTGTCAGTGCTGCCAAACAAGGCGGACATGATCCTAGCAGCAAATTTCTTCTTCAGAAAAGCAACCAGAGATTGCCCRAGACTACCCAAATGAATAAAGAAAAGCAGTATTCAAATGTCTATGAGAAACCTAGAAATTCTGGCTGAATCTATTAGAAGAAAATCTATTTCCTAATTTGTTAAACTATAAACTGGAATAGCTACAAGACAACCACCCCCATTTCCCTTTCATCTAAGAAAAGCAGGTCTGTTGAAGAGTAGAGCACACCAGGGCGTAGACTGATCCACACTGAAAACCAGAGACAAAGACCCAAATGAAGTGACTGTCATTATCCTCCAGCCAGATAAGGCTGTGCAGATCCAAGAAAGGTGACAGTCACATGTGCAGAGCAACTGGCTGCTCACTACAGTCAGCGACTGACATCCATTTTTAGCTTTACAGAGCAACAGAAGAAGCCAAATATCATATGAACTCAATCAACCACAGAAGAAAAACCAGACGCGACCACACACAGGAAGCAGGTAACAAGCTCTCTGCTGGCAGCCATCACCCTCTTTCCTGCTAGACGATGAAACAGAACAAAAAGATCAAGGTTGGGGACCCAGCCACCCTCTTCACAAGCACAAAAATACAACRGCTCTCAACAGATGCAGCTCGAGTGGTTCACTGATAGGGAAGGGGAAAGATTCTCAAGCATGTTCATACTATAGAGCAACTGCTYCCTATGTATAAAACTGATAGCCGGAGATGGAATGATTTCCAAAAGGAGTGAAAACAGAAACAAGAATAGTGAACTACTGAAAGGAACCTCTGAGAACGGAAGTGTTTTTTACATGATCAGCAAACAGCCAAAAGCATTCRCACAAGTGCTAAGCTAGATGTTGCAATATTACTTCAAAGACAACAGAACAGGGCTTAAACTGGGTTTTGTAGCCCTGACACCAGCACTATGCCTCAAAGGAAGCTAAAACTGAGGTGAAAGGAACAGTATTTTATTGTTTCTTTTCCTACTGGACCTTGGAAAGGCTGCCACTGAAAACAAAATGCAAGGTGATATGCAAAGATACACTAAGGCATTTCCTCTACCTTTAGCTTTTATTCTCTTTCAAGAACCAGAAATAGCAAGGCTTTTTTCCCCCCCTTTTCCYTCTCTCTCTCCTTTTCAGCTTGAGGTCCCTTGACTGAATAGAAGAAAGGTACTCTGTTCCCTCCCAAAACAGCAACAAGCAGAGCTCAAATTTGCTTGTTTCTTTACAACACAAAAGGCTCTGAGCTGCAGCAGTATTATCGCTGTTTTTTCAAAAATTCCATACCATCATTTTCATTCTACAACACTTTAGAAATAAGGAAACTATAGCATTAGAAACAAGTATTTTTTGTTTAGATCACAAGTGCACTTCTGCATAAAATCTCAAGGAAATCATCATTTGCTGCTCTTCAGTTCACATTGTTCAGTGGTCTCAGCTGAAGCAGATGAACTCCAAGAGCTCCCCTATTCCCTCCTGCACTCCAGCTGCAAACAAGCATTCAGTCAGAGGTAGCCCAGCCACATTAGAGGTAGCCTTAAGTAAAATATTCCTGAAATCTGTACAGCTCAGGGGTCAAGTTCTCAGCATCAACAGCTCTGCTCTACACAAGTCCGCCTACTAACCCACACTACCTGCTAATTTACTATCAGAACAAGGCCAAAGGTCTTCCCATAAAACCAGACAATTAGATGTGTATCAGCATTGACAATCAGTCTTTAGTGAGTCATGTACCAAGTACTAAACTTCAGCTGAACTTTCACCTGGTCATTGGAAGAGGCATAAAAACAGCAGCAATCAGCAGAACATCGTCTGCTGGCTGATGAGATGTCTCAGCACAAACACCTTTAGATAAAGCATTAGCTCAACTTTCAAGTACAAGTATTTGGCAATTCTGAAATGTGCTTTAAAAAAGAAAAATCACTCAGGTCATTCATCGTATCGGGTCAGATAAACTAAAATTAGCGCTAAATCCCTTGTAAATTCCTTAATAACATGGGGAATCTCAAATACTATTTTTTGTAAGCACTCTTCTGTTCACCCAATTTCACTGCACAGTTAGACTGACTGAAGCCTTGTTGCCACTGTTGGATCTTCCTTTTTTCTCTCCAGGTCCACACCCATGTCCTACTAAATAGGAAACTTGATTGGTCCAGCTCCAAGCACTGCAATTTCATGTACAGGTACCTGGTTTGTGTATATATACACACACAAATATAAACACATACACACAAATGAACAAAATGCCACTTTCAGCCAGGAATCAAGTCAAATAACTAAATGAAGCACACAGAATCATAAAGAAATTAGTCTTGGGTTTCACACGTGCAACAAGGTCGTGAACATCCATTCTCCTCACCCCATCCCTCCAGATACTTGGCCACCCCTTCCTGCTGCAGCACAACCACCCGCTTGGAACAGCCACAAAGATCAGCAGGAATCTCTCCCTCAGGATGGATCAGTTGGTCTGACCTCGTTTCCCCATACAGCCAGATAAACCTCTGCGATGTCAAATGAGGAGCAGTAAAACAGACACAAGGTACTGCTAGGGGACAGGAAGGCTTTGGAGCACTTCACTGCTGTCAGAGGAATGTGTTTTGCAAGCCCCTGTCAGAAGGAATGCAGTGTATTGCTCTACAGAAGTCAGTACTGGAAAGCCAGGACGCACAGGAAACTGTGCACTGGCTTTTAGTTTTGTCCAGACTAATGAATTCTTTAAAAAGTGTGAATTATTATTATGAGTCACTAGGAGGTACTTAATAAATAAAACCTATTATGTGGGATAACACAGCCTACAACAGAATTAATTATTCCTTGCMGATTTGCTATACTTTAGCTTACGCTGATTCAAAATTAAGTATTTTTATCCATATCTTCATTTGTTTCATTCTGAAGTGTTTTAGCATAAACTATGCTATTAAAAAACGTTAACAGTGCACTTCCATATTCCAGCTAACCAAAGGCTAAGAATTACATCTATTTACTTCCAGTGCATTTGGAAATAAGCATCCTCATCATTACTAAACCAATATCTTACAAGCTTGCACTTACCATAATCTATTTTGAGATTCTACACAGAATACAAAGATTTCTCAAGTTTGAAACAAAGTCATAAATAAAYACTGTGGTAAAACATTCTCCCTAAGTAACTAACAAGTGAGAGTTTGCTAAGCTAGTTTTTTGTCTGGGAACAGAAAAAAAACCTCCCTTCTTTTAGAACTCTGTCTAGCTACTAAAGTTTGGGAAGTCAAACAGGAATCTACATTACAACCCAGCAGAAGACAGTATTTTCCAGATCTCTCATCTAGAGGATACAATAAACAGAAGTACTGTTTTTCTACCTACAGAGGAAAAAAAACCTTCCTTGTTGTTTAATGATTAGCTTTTATTTATAAATGTTTTGACCATCTTTCACTTGAAGAAGCTTATATGTTTTAATCAGATTCCAACTTCAACCTATATACAGAAATAATGAATTTTCAAGTGTTGAAAGTTGTTTGAATTAATAGTGTTAGCAAGAGAGTTAAGATGAGTGATATTAAGCTCAATTTTGTCATAACTCATCTGCAACACATCCATTTACAGACATGCTTTACAGCAAAGCTCAGAGCTCAAAGCAGCACAGTTCTCTGCACTACTTCAGCTTGTTAAACTGTGGCATGATGTAGAAGACAGGATTAAATACTAATCAGCCTCCTTAAAATGAGTTAGAAGTGGACAAGTCTATTTAGGTTCTTTGCAAAATACATTCCGAGGTTGGATATGTACTTATTTTAATAAACCTGACAGTATTCTACATAAATTCATTGRTTAGTTTCCCTATTTAAAACTAAATGGCTCTGTATTCAGTGAGCTAGTATAAGAAACTAAGATTTTTTTTCCCAATTTGTCAAGTGTATCCCTARAATGTGAAGGGTGATAACAGCAAAATGCTATATAACCAACTTACCACTGCCACCGCATCACTAGAAAGAACAGCATTAACATCCAGCACTGTGTAATAAGCTATGTTGGTCATAATGTAGATAACAGTCACGATTGGCATAGACACAGCAATAGCCAGGGGCAAGTTCCTGTAAGGACAAAGGGGGAAAAAAAAGAAAAAAGGGGGCTATTTTTTCCATTAATAACACAACTAGCTTATGAATTTGCATTCCACMTTTCAGCAGTAAAAGCTACAAAGACATGCAAAAAGACTTCAAAATAGCTACCTCTGGCAGAGTTTGATTTTAAACTAGAAATTTGAATGCAAAATGCCAGAARAGTCAGAAACTCTAATTTCAATAGAATTCTAAATCTAAATTATGTGGAAAAGGTGCAACTGTTCAAGTACACTAATTTCAAGGTTTCCAAATCAGTCATTGCAGGCCTTTGGAATCACACACCTTGAATTATTTCCACAATAAACCATAAAAACCATGCTGTTTTTCACAATCAGGAGACCTACAGGAGCAGAGCTCTGAGCCACTGCATGCAGTTTGGGGAATGCTGCTGCTTTTTCAGGACCTATTTCTAGAACTGACGGAGTCCTCTAAAGCAAAACAAAACCTTGGTCATCCCATCCGCATTCCTTTATCACAGCAGAGGTCAAATGGATTCATCTGCATCTCTGCAGAAGGAGGAGATCCAAAACTTCTGCCAAGCTATAGACTCTGGATGTGGTGAATTTTATTAGCAAACACGCAGGACAATGACATCAGTACTGTGAAAACACTGCAAACCAAACCGTAAACATGAACAGGTAAAATTTATGATTTATGAGGATTTAACCTGGCAGTTTGTAAGAGATAGGCAAATTTTTAAGAACCTTCATATCATTCCTGACAGATGAGCTTTCTTGAGAGAATGTTTTAAGCTTTTGTTAACAAAAGYATAGTTTACACATGCCTGCAGAAGAGAAGGGAGGAGCCAGGCATATAAGGCAAATATCTTCAATATCTCCAAGCTACAGCTATTTTGAGAACCTTTCCTGAACCTGATATGGTTTGTCTATTTAGATAAACTCTTCCATTTACCATGTTCAGTCTCTTCCTGACCAGCAGCTCTGCAAGTCCATTCCTTGCCACAGAAATGGCCATTTTTCTGGCCTCCAGTAAACACTGAGCCATGGTTGTGTGGCAGAGTAATTCAGAGAGAGCAGACTGCAAGAATTCCAGTTTAATTTCCCTTCGGTATGCTTTCATTTCTCATTTTAGACTGAGGCAGGCTAAAGACACACCAGGCTGCTCTTCCCTAACCTAGTYTTGTGGGAATGCCTTCATCCGAGAGGAGCCTTGTCCTGTCCAGTCTTCTYCCTTATTTTCCCAAAGGGGCAGGGAATTTGTTGTCTCTCTGCTTTTGCATGGAGAAGCAGGAATTGCACGTGTGGCAAGGGCATGGATAAACTCACAGCCCTGAGGCTGGAGCTCCATGGTGAGAAGCTCAAAACAGACTTCTGACTTCTCTCTGCCTTGCACGAGCATTTGGCAGGAACACAATTTTCCACAAGGGGAAAAAATAATAAAATCTTTAAGTTAGAGTTCCARTTTTGACTTCCAGGTTGTACAGCCACAGTAAGAGTCCAGGGGACTTCAGCACAGAGAAGAAACAATTWGAAAAGCATCGTGAATCCATTTAAGTATTTCAGACCACTCAAGATCAAAGGCAAGGGACTGCTTCAAATTTAACTMATCGATTACAGCTTTGATAGAATGAGCACAAGGGCGTTATGAATCAAATTATTACAAAAAAAAAAGAATTAACCTAAAAGACATCAGATATACATTTTATGTATATGATATATATCATATCTGAAAATATATTTTCATTCCATTCTTCCATTCTTTATCTTCCACTTGTAGCAATCTTGACTGTTGTTTTTAATAGGAAATAAAAATGCTTAAATAGGATTCTGTTATTAACAAAGGCATCTGCTTATAGACTAAAAATTGATCAAGTTAAAGTTTAGTCAGTCATTTTTGCAGCACAGCTTAGTGGAAAAACGTGGTTTTTTTGGAGTGAGAATTATTGCACAGATATGAACACAGCGCAGACTACAGTTACAAAACTGTTACAATGCAATATTAATATAATACATTTGTAAAGAATGGCATGCAGCATCTTGGACTAAAAGCTTAATAAGTACKGTATACAGCATCCTGCAGTAATCTAGATTTTTTTTTTTAATATATTTCATCTTTTAATGAAGTTCAAAGTTAGTAATTTCTAGTTGGTGGTGTTTACAGCAACTGTGAAGTAATTCTGCTTATTTCTGTATAGGTTCAGGATTCATCAGTGAAAGACAGTCACAAAATGAGCAACTCAGGAACTGTTCAGGTTTAGAAAATTCAAGTCTTTTACCTTTCCGGGTTTTTGATCTCTTCTGTTACAAAATTGAGCGTATCCCAACCAGAGTAAGAGAACAAGGCAGAATAGAGGGCAAGGGAAATGTCTCCAATATCAAAAGAGGATCCCTCAAAAGAGTTCTCAAAATGTGCTGAGTGTCCTGTGTGTGGAGGAGACACAATGAAGTACAGGAAAATAAAATGTATCAAGTAATTTTTTTTTTCAGTTTGGTAAACAAATAGAAAAACTCGGGCTAACATCCTTCAAAGCTGCTTATTAAGTCATTGCTCCAATTTTGTTCTGTGCTTCAGCCATGAGAATAATCTTAACTTTTAARCTACTACAAATCATGCTCTATGAATGACATGCTGAAAACTCATGGCAATAAAAAATACCCTAATCTGACTTCTAGTCCCTGAGCACAAACAAAAGAAAAGCAACTGCTGAGTTAAGAGCAGAAAAGGGAGCCAATGTCAAGGAAGTTAGTAGTAAACACACTCAGTATCTACAGAACAAGAGATGGTGCAGACATGCCAAAGATAGAACATACTGGCAGAGGGCTTATGCATGCACATTCCTGTTCCCTTCACCATGATAATTACACTGCTCGTGATAATTACCTGCACATAAATGTTCACCAATAACTGCCTAGAGCAAAGGACACAGCTTGCCAAGAAAATAGCTTTGGGATAGCTTTGAAATCAGGCTATATTTTTAAGCTAACACAACAATAAATCTTCCTCAAAGAAAGAGATAAGAATAGAACTTAGTTCAAAATTATTCTCATCTAATTTGAGGGCACAATGCCTAACACAGAAGGGAAAAAAAAWATATATCCATAATCACAGCAACTTTCTAATTCTCTACTGAAATCTTGAGTTCTCTTACTGCTTTCTCAGCTATAATAGAACTCAGGGTTTCAGGAAAATAAAAGCAAAAAAAGTGCAATGCAGAACGTCCCTTTATGGGAATCTGTATCTCCACTCCTATTTTGCAAGCTTTGTAATTTCTTGTTTTCGTTTTCCTTATTATTCCATCCCACAGGCTGTAAATTGCACAATACGGCTGAGCAATCAGTTACCTTCTTTCACCCAGCTCAAAGTCAACTAAGATAGTCTCCTTATCACGATACTTATTCCTAACGCTGGCATTATTGGTATTTTCCAAGCAGCTTGCTGCACTTATTGAAGCCTTTGATAACATCTATAGAGATATTTACAGTCTCTAGACCAATTATTCAAACCAAGCTGATACGTACAAACCTTTGCTTTAATTTTATAACCTTACCCTGGCAGATTTTAACAAGTCCAGTTATGATGATGGCAATAAGAGCAATGACTTTAGCATAAGTAAATATATCCTGGACCCGTGTTCCCCACTTAACATAGGCACAATTTACAAATGTTAGAAGACCTAGAAGAAAAGTAAAAAGACAATTTGATCAAATTTCTATTTATTTTTCAAATATTTTTTATCTTAACTAAACACATACTTACCTGTTATACTAGTATTTGGGTTAAATTAAGCAAAGCACACTGGTATACAAATTTACTGCTTTAAAAAAATGCTATGAAACAGATGTTCTAAAGATTCATAACTCAGTTTTGCAAAAGCGAGAAGGACCTTCCCCACATCAGATGCTGTCAGATGCCCCTTTTCTTAATTTTCCTCTGTGCTGCATTCTGCAATTATCCTGAAGCTAAAGAAATCACTTATATGAAATGAATCACTTGAATTTTGCAATATTGTTTTGATTAATAAAATATTAGATAGAAATCCCTTTAGGCAAACATATTGAAATATTTGGTTTATCCTTTGTTCGTCTGCAGGTCAGTTTGACATCCACAGAGTTTCAGAGATCTAAGAGATTCAACCCGTTAACTTATTTGCAATAATGAGTATGGTCACAGGTGATTTAATATCCTTCTCCATCTGTGTTAAACTGTGCTACAAGGCAAGGTTAGAACAGATCTGACCAACTAACCTATGCCYTGCAGGTAATGCCACATCAATAAGGATTTTTTTTCTTTTAAGAAACTGGTGATAAGTAATTTGTATTCTGAATATATTCCTCCTGGTACCCCAAAATAAAAGTGTCAGGCCTATTTCACAAGATTGGAATGAAGGGCACCAAAGTGAGACTTTCAGATTGCACAAGTATTTTGCCACAAATAACTTACTCATATGATCAACTTCCCCAGCAAAAACTTTTTTCAAGCTGTTGTTGACATCCACTCTTCTCATAACTCTCAGCATTTCTCAAACTCACTGTTTTTTTYCCCCTCATCCAGCTTGTCATTCAAATTATCATTATTTTATTCCAACCTTGACGTTTAATTTTTTTCCCCCATCTCAAATTCCACTTTTCCCACTGACAAGTAATACTAAATGCAGTTATATTCTAGTGTGGCTTTACACTTCTGCAGTTTTATTGTACTGTGTAATTTAAATATACATATAACTAAGAAGTTGATTTGATTAAGAACCAAAGTAGCAGCAAAACAAAAGTAAATCCAAAGGACTGAATGAAAGGAAGGAATGAAAGGAAACCATTTCCTTTCCCATAAGCTAAGAAGAACATAATACTGTTAAGATATGAATGCATTTAGAGCAGCTACCAAGTAGGAAAAACAACAAAAAAAAAGCCTAATCATTCAAAAAACAGTGACACAGGAAAGGTAATGATCTCAAAAACATGGCAATAAGAGACTAGAAAGTCAGGCCAGGGGAAACCCTGGCTGAACCAGATTCCACACAGCTTGGTAAGGGGGGAGAGCAAGAGAGGAGAAAAAAAAAGAGAAAACAGTTGTATCAAATTTCAGAAGTCAGCACTGCTGCAACTCCTAAGAAATTCTCAGCAAAAAAACCCAGCAGTTCTGCTTGGTCTCTGCTCTCTAGCACTAACAAGTGCTATTATCCGCAGAGAATTTGCTCATTGGGGTTATCTTTGCTGTTGATTTTTTGATAGCAACTTTCGATATGGGAGCAATTATTACTATTAATTCCTAATTTGCATGCCAGGACTCAGTCTTCAATTTAAGTGAAATGCTACTTTGTCTATGGTGTCTTAAGGAAAAAATAATCAAGAAAAAAAAAAAGATAATTAAGAACCTGAATAGGCCACATCCTCCTTCTTTTACCAAAATTATTCTCTCATTTTCCTCAACTTAATTATCACTTAGCTATTTAAAGCTGCTGAGAAATGTCAGGTACCATTCTGCATTGGAAKATACTGGCCATATTTCTGAGATGAGTTGCAGTAACAACATTTAGCACTCTGGATTTTACTAGACAGATCATCCCCCCCCAGATCTAGTAAGTTGTGGGGTTTATTTATGTATTTTCCCTTACAATCTATACCTAACTAACATTCAGACTTTCTATTCCAACAGCTTCATTAATAGGAAGTTTATCCACAGAGAAGGACACCCAGTATCAGTTGTGCCAGGGAAAAGGGGAGGCTTCGGCAGCCAGAGCTGCATGAGATAGCAGAGCAGGAGTAAGAGCCTCAGCACTGAGGTCTCAAAAGAGGGCAGGACAAGTAGTAAGACCAGTACGGTCAATCTTGCATCTACATGAAAGTGATCTTGTTGTAAATACAAAAAGATGTATTTCTTCCCATAGCACGAGTATAGAGGAGAAATCACATTCTCACTCTTTATCAACTGTACATAATCATCTTATTTTTTCTATGAAGGAGGCAGGAGCCCCTGGAGTGCATCATTTTGTCTTCGCATCTTGCTTTTTGTCCCCTCCCCTGTTTTTTTTGTTGTTGCTGTTGCCTTTAAGCAGGATATCAGGAGGATACTAATAGGAAAAACTGTTGCTTACAGACATTTCAATGGTTTTTATACACACAATTTTTACKTTTCAAAATATCTTTACAGGCATGTTCGTTGATATGTTATGGCAAAACCAAGCGTGAAGAACCATCTTGAATGAATGACATTTTCAAAACCTGCCAGAGTAACCACTTAAACAGGTCTACACTGAGATGCTACCGTGAAAAATTATGGTATCATTTGGAGCACACAAGGYACTGGACAGTAATCCCAGGGACTACACCAAGAATGTCTTACGGTCCAATTTAGTCCACCTCTCTGAAGGAAAACAGATGAGGAATAGTTACTCTATGCACTTCTCCAACATAAGGAAACTCCAAAAAGTCCAATAGTTTGTTCTGCTTTTGAATGAAAACTTGTTAATTCTCTGCCTACATACCTAGAGGTTCATAAACTGGAAATGCTTCTGCTCCCCACCTTTAATAAAGTTAAATCCTAGATAAAAAAAAAATGACCATAGGAAATTTCAAGAACTACTTACATTCACAAGCAGCTGCTATGAGGCGGCAAGCAAAATATGGAGGATCACAAGAAGGGAAGAAAGGTTGAACTAGGTAGTTAGCAAAGGTGATGGCAATGACGGCCTGACTGGTTGGCTCGACAATTAGGAGCGAGGTCCATAAACGAATAAAAGCAATGAAGCTTCCAAAAGACTCCAAGATATAAGCATAGCTGGCTCCAGACTTGGTAATAGTGGTTCCGAGTTCAGCATAGCAGAGAGCTCCAAAGACTGAGAAAATCCCTCCAATTGCCCAAACTATTAGAGACAATCCGTAAGATTTGCTGTAGATGAGAACTCCTTTGGGAGACACAAAGATACCTGAACCAATCATGTTGCCTACTATAAGGCTTATCCCATTTAGCAGTGATATTTCTTTCTTCAGTTGCATTGTGTTTTGGTTTCCATCAGGCATTTCAGAGCTGTCGCTGGGATCTGTCTTGTCCGATTTATCGACAGGGCTGTACTCAGCCAGGGAGTTATGAGCCGTGGGACCATCAGTCCTTTCTCCCATCATGGAAAGGCCAGGAATTCCCTGCGACTCCAAAAAACCAACCTAAAGCAAAAAAGTAAAAAAAAAAAAAAAAAAAAAAAATAAAAAAAAAAAATCAGCCGAAATCATTAATAAAAACTTCTTCCAACTGCTCACATGCCCAATAGTACAACCTGCTCCCTTATTCCCTCTAAGGAACCCTGTTCCCAGTTCCCACTTCCTTGTTCTTGGAGTTATTTATCTAAGAACACAAGCTGCACAGGAAAAACACTGTGCTTCCAACCCAAATCCAGCTGTTCATTTGCAGCTGTTTTTAACAGTATCTAAGAAAACAGAAATGAAATAAATGTTTTCCTTTCCCTCAGAACCAACCATTTGGAAAACCACCACTTTCTCAAGTCCGCAGAAATGCTACCGTGCCTCCTTAACACAAGCTATGGCTAATCACATTAATAAGCACAAAATACACTGGTTGTTACCAGTAATTTTGAATGAGGCACATGATGCATAAGTTCAAGTAAAATTCAAGTAAAATTCAAGAAGCTGCCTTGTATGGAGACCAGTTTAAATTCCAGAAGTATTTTTGATTATCAGTCAAGAAAGTCACATAAGAACCAAAATGCACTAYCATTCATCTGCCCTTGTCCCTCAGGGTATGTTTTTACCATTTACCATGCAGCAGAAAGATGAATAGCTCTCTATCAATTGAAATGAAAAAGTTTTCACTTTTTTGTGGGTAATATCAGCTTTATTAAACTTTTTGTTCTTCCACCAATAAACTTGTCTAAGAGCAGAGGTACCCTAAGTCCAGGGTTTTTGAAGGTCATCATGCAATTAACCCAACCGCATGCGTCTCCGTGCATCTTGTGACTTATGAACACAGACACTTTATTGAGCAATGCTAAACCACTGTATAGAGCTTTGTTCCTGCAAATACAGATATACCTTTTAGGGGGGGAAAAATGTAATGACCAAAGCCTTAATTATAACGCCACTGATCTCCTGCACTGTACCGTACAGCATAGGAAATCTCTCGACATCAACTCCTTGTTGAGGAACATAAACATTACATTGAATCCTCATTTTGATATACTTGCCCCCAAGCAAATTATAACCAAGAGCAACCATGCTTTACCTCAAGGTGTTAAGGTTGGAGTAGGTTCAGTCACCTGTGAAGCAGCCTCTAACTCTTTGAAGATCCGGATCAGCAGCACACGCCTGCCTTCCTATACAGTTTTGTTATCTACGACCTCAGCTATTTACTGCCCTACTCTACCCTGCCACAAAGGAACAACATCCCCTCAGTCAAGCTTTATTTTTTACAGCAATTTCTCCGAGTGTTTCTTTTTAACTAATATTATTATTATTATTATTATTCCCAGATTCCGGTATCAGCTGACCACTAGCAGTGCATGAGGGTGCATGCAATAACTCACTCCAGAGTTAGCCTTTCATTCTCTCCTCTAACCTTGCTTCATTTCCTTAAAGCCTTCAGGGCTGGAATTGCTTATTTGCCTGAGTCACGTGTCTTATTGCACGTGTCTTATTGCACAGTGGAATCAGAGGTACTAGCAGGTTATTCCCCCCCCGCAAAAACATCTCACCTCATATTAACTGGGACTAAACTGCACAGCTTTGACTAGCTGGAAAAAAAACAACACTATGAAGGAAGAGGAGAGAGCAAGGATCACAAAAATATTAGTGAACAAAACTGGAGATATGTCAAGGTTAGAAAAACACATACTGAGAACAGAAAATATTTACTACAATCCGTGATTCATGTTGCAAGGCCATGACTTCTGTGGAACCAGAAGACATGCTTGGAATGAAAAGAAAAAAAAAAAAGAATAAGAATAATGTTAATTTTCTGATGTACATCAAGCATGGAATACTCCAACCAAAAAAACACATAGACCTATCAATAATGTCTTGTCATAGGGCTACTTGGACTAAAGCAGTTTAATGACACAGACTAACGTGGATTTCCTCATCGCTCACCCTTGTGCAAGAAAAACCTCTTAAACTCTTGTTTTTGCTGATAGCTGCAGCTGTGAGGAATCTTTTTGCTGATATGCATAGAATTTTTCCTGAGGTGACAGCACTGTCAATATAAAAGCCTTATATGAAGCCAGGACAGAATGACCTGAAACAGGATCTCCTCATCGTCTCACCAAAAATACGTATTCTGATAAGGTCTGTCATATGTTCACAATGTACCAGAGCGGCTAACGAAGGCTCACGTGCAGCTAGCAAAGCTCTAACACTGTAAAACCAGACGGTCCTGCTTTTAAGCAGGGAAAATGAGGAACCAGCCACCAAAATCCCCTCTTACCCCCTGAGCAACAGAGCAGCTGACCTGCGATTTGTCCAAGCGAGGTAAACCGGCTAACGAGTTAATTACCCAGCTGAAACACCAAACTGCTTCAACTCTATGTTTACTACACTGGCACACAACATATGCTCATTAGCAAAGATTTCTAGAGTTTGCCTGTCTTCTGCAGTTGTCTTGATCTCACAAAACGACTCTGTTTACAGACACTTGGACTATGCAGTTGTGCACAGATATTTTGACTATTTGAGAGTCCCCGCTGTAAAACTTCTATTTCTGAGCACAATGCTTTGCCCTTCGGGTAAGAGTCAAGTCTGCCCTGCACAGGCAAACAACATAAAAGTCTGCAGGTAACTAAGCACTAGGAGAGCAGAGGTTATAAATCCCAGAAATTCCTATTGCTTGTGATGCTTTCAGGTACCCCTTAGGCTGAGCACGTCAGTGGGAAAAGCTGTTTGTCTRCTGCGTGTTTTTCTTGGTTCTCCTCTCACCACAGACGCTTTTCCTGCCGTACATGCAGTTAACAGACAGGAAACCCTTGCAAGAAAAAAAMCAGCTCCCAATGTAAAGCTTTAATCCATTCAACAAAGCTAATCATTCATGTAGGTATAAATGCATTGTAAAAACTCGCATAAACCTTTGGTCAAATAAATCAACTAATATTTACTTTTTTAAAGTATGTGTTGATCATAGAAGAGAAGCGAAGGGGTCAAGGGTGGCAGTCACTCGACAGCAACTGGGCCTGACTCCCCGCACCTCCGTGGCCAGCACAAGGAGCCATCCACATCCACGTGCATCCTGGCAAAGCAGGAGCAAGGCCACGAACACCAAACGGGACCGCACTCACGGGCGGACATCCGCGTGTTGCTCAAGGCCCCAATCCCACACAAATCCAACCCACATGCACTTGCTTACCCCTAAACCAAACCATACTGAAATTAAGGATGTGGGGTAGCTGCAAGTGGAAGATAACGTGCCTCTTTATCTTTCACGCTTTGGATTTATTTCAGATTTCCAAGGAGGCGGGAATGGAGGGAAGCTCCAGCTGTCTCGGACAGACAGGAGGCTGGCAGCGCACAAGGCAGCGCCAATACAGCCAACTCCATTAAGAAATGCACAGAACAACCCCACAGCGAGGAGGCAGGAGGCGGCTTGAGAGGGGTTTACACCGGTGTAAATCCTAGGGCATAAAAACAGGACTCCTCTCGGTAACAGAAATTGCAGG